TTGGGATCAGAAGTTTGAGGGTTCGAGTCTCTCCGTGGTTGTTGTCCATATTGCTTATCAGGCTTCTGTGGCCTCCACTATAAGGATGGGAGATGCACATCCCCCCCCCCCCCCCCATACCAAGTGCCCCACCCCTCTCCCTGCCAAGGCCGCGGTGTCAGCACTGTCACACTTTGAATGACAATCACTCATAAAACACTGGGGTCACCCCGGGATCTGTGTCACTGTACTGGGGGTCACCCCGGGGATCTGTGTCACTGTATGGGGTCAACCCCGGGATCTGTGTCACTGTTCTGGGGTCACCCCGGGGATCTGTCACTGTACTGGGGGTCACCCGGGATCTGTGTACACTGTTCTGGGGGTCACCCCGTGGATCTGTGAGTCACTGTACTGGGGTCACCCCGGGATCTGTGTCACTCTTCTGGGTCAGACCCCGGGATCCCTGTCACTGGGGTCACCCGGGATCTGTGTCACTGTTCTGGGGTCACCCCGGGATCTGTGTAAATGTCACTGTTCTGGGGTCACCCCGGGATCTGTGTCACTGTTACTGGGGTCCCCGGGATCTGTGTCACTGTTCTGGGGTCCACCCCGGGATCTGTGTAAATGGACCCCAGGAGTCCGAGTTATATGGGACTAGAGCTCTTCTCCTCCATGTGCGCCATTCTAGAGAACTGCAGTCGGAGGATGTCACCCCCCACATATACCTGTGCCGTGCCCGAGGCTCCCGCACGCGAGTGACGTCATCATGGCTCGGCCAGTCACACGGCTGGAGCCCCGCGAGCCTGGCAGGAAGACCGGTGAAGATGGACAGCTTTGTTTTGGGTTCGCAGGCTCCAGCGGTGTACAATGATGCAAGATCCCCCCCAGTATGACAGGATCCCTGGGGTGACCCATGAATTGGGACCCCAATATGACCTCACTGCGATGACCAAGGGTTTTCCGATTGACCTCACTTTGATGATGCGGGATCCCGGGGTGATCTCTGTACAATGACATGGGATTCCAGGGTAACATTATGGCACGGCCCCCCAAGATCACCTCAGTATAAAGACACGGGTTCCCAGGGTGACCCCAGTACAATGACACAGAATCCCGGGGTCACACCGGCTACAATGGCACAGGATCCGGGGTGACCCGGCTACAATGGCACAGGATCCCGGGGTGACCCGGCTACAATGGCACAGGATCCCGGGGTGACCCAGGCTACAATGACACAGGATCCCAGGGTGACCCGGCTACAATGGCACAGGATCCCGGGGTGCTCAGCTACAATGACACAGAATCCTGGGGTGACCACAGTATTATGACACGATCTCGGGGGAACCTCAGTACAATGAGGATCCTGGGGTTGTCCTTAAGAGCAGGACATGGGTTCCTGGGGTGACCTCAGTATGAGGATCTTGGGGGTGTCCTTAAGAGCATGACATCAGTTCCTGGGGTGACCCTGCTACAATGACACAGGATCCCAGGGTGACCCCAGTACTATAGCATAGGATCCCGGGGTGACCCAGTACTATGGCATTAGGATCCCAGGGGCGACCCCAGTACAATGAGGATCTTGGGGTGATCTCTGAATAACATGACATAGGTTCCTGGGGTGACCCCTGCTACAATGACACAAGATCTTGGGGTGACCCTGCTTATACAATGACACAAGATCTTGGGGTGACCCCAGTACTAAGCATAGGATCCGGGGGTGACCCCAGTACTATGGCATAGGATCCCAGGGTGACCCCAGTACTATGGCATAGGATCCCGGGGTGACCCCACTACTATGGCATAGGATCCCGGGGTGACCCCAGTACAATGATGATCCTGAGGTGATCCGAAATAGCATGACATAGGTTCCTGGGGTGACCCTGCTACAATAAGAATCTTGGGGTGATCCGAATATGACAGATTCCTGGGGTGACCCTGCTACACTGACACAGGATCCCGGATGACACCAGTACTATGGCATAGGATCCCGGGGTGACCCCAGTACTATGGCATAGGATCCCGGGGCGACCCCAGTACAATGAGGATCTTGGGGTGATCTGAATAACATGACATAGGTTCCTGGGGTGACCCTGCTACAATGACACAGGATCCTGGGGTGACCCTGCTACAATGACACAAGATCTTGGGGTGACCCTGCTACAATGACACAGGATCCCAGGGTGACCCCAGTAGTACTAAGCATTAGGATCCGGGGGGGTGACCACCATACTATGGCATAGGATCCCGGGGTGACCCCAGTACTATGGCATAGGATCCCGGGGTGACCCCAGTACTATGGCATAGGATCCCGGGGGGTGACCCCAGTACAATGATGATCCTGAGGTGATCCGAATAGCATGACATAGGTTCCTGGGGTGACCCTGCTACAATGAGAATCTTGGGGTGATCCGAATATGACAGATTCCCGGGGTGACCCTGCTACACTGACACAGGATCCCGGGGTGACCCCACTACTATGGCATAGGATCCCGGGGTGACCCACTACTTGGCATAGGATCCCGGGGTGACCCCAGTACGAGGATCTTGGGGTGATCCGAATAGGACGACAGGGGTTCCTGGGGTGACCCTGCTACACTGACACAGGATCCTGGGGTGACCTCAGTACCTCAATATCCCCTCTTCTGCCTTAGTCTTCTCCCCCCTCCCCCCCCCCCCGGCCTCCTCATCAGGATCGTTATCGGCTGCTCTCGTCTGTCCAGGCCGTTGGCGCGCCATTGCCGGAGGGAAGGTGAATGACGCACGCCCCGATTCATGACGGATACCCAGCAACACACGACCACAAACACGTGTAAAGAAATACGACCTTTAATAATGAGCGTTTGTAACTTTCCTTTGGTATAATCAAGGCAAAAAATGTATCCTTAAAATATGGAAAAAAAAAAAAAGTCATGTACAAGGAAGTGACGCAGCATTACGTGACGCAGCAATACGTGACGCAGCAATACGTGACGCAGCATTACGTGACGCAGCATTACGTGACGCAGCATTACGTGACGCAGCATTACGTGACGCAGCATTACGTGACGCAGCATTACGTGACGCAGCAATACGTGACGCAGCAATACGTGACGCAGCAATACGTGACGCAACATTACGTGACGCACCAATACGTGACGCAGCATTACGTGACGCAGCAATACGTGACGCAGCATTACGTGACGCAGCATTACGTGACGCAGCATTACGTGACGCAGCATTACGTGACGCAGCATTACGTGACGCAGCATTACGTGACGCAGCATACGTGACGCAGCAATACGTGACGCAGCAATACGTGACGCAGCATTACGTGACGCAGCATTACGTGACGCAGCAATACGTGACGCAGCATTACGTGACGCAGCATTACGTGACGCAGCATTACGTGACGCAGCAATACGTGACGCAGCAATACGTGACGCAGCAATACGTGACGCAGCAATACGTGACGCAGCATTACGTGACGCAGCAATACGTGACGCATTACGTGACGCAGCAATACGTGACGCAGCAATACGTGACGCAGCAATACGTGACGCAGCATTACGTGACGCAGCATTACGTGACGCAGCAATACGTGACGCAGCATTACGTGACGCAGCATTACGTGACGCAGCAATACGTGACGCAGCAATACGTGACGCAGCAATACGTGACGCAGCATTACGTGACGCAGCAATACGTGACGCAGCATTACGTGACGCAGCATTACGTGACGCAGCAATACGTGACGCAGCAATACGTGACGCAACATTACGTGACGCAGCATTACGTGACGCAGATGATATGTTGCTGCAGGTGGCGAGACTTTGGTATCAGAATATAAAGTGTGCATGCAATAAGGTGGGGGTACTATGTACATGTGTGGGGGGGATGGGGGTAGGGGGGGGACAAACGTGCATTTCTCCGAGTGCCCCACCTTGTCCACCAGCGACACAACAAAAAGCCGCTTTCCCATTGGTCGGGCTGTCTATTCACATGTCCATCTACCTCCTTTCCGAGGCTCTTCCTCTTCTTGGACGTGAGGATCAATCTTCTGGTCGGATACCATTCACAGGGGCCAAACCAGCCGCAGATAGTAAACCAACCACCTACCCAACCTGCCCCTTTACCAGCCATCTCTATGGAAGGGCATCAGCATCACCGAAACCCAGGAGGGCCGAAGGGTACGACTCATCACCAGCTTGGCCATCAGCCATGACCACCACCCCCCAGATGTCCACTGACCACAGACACCACCACTTTCTATAGCAGCTTTCCTAAACCCTTTTATTTCAGAGGAACCCTTGAAATAATTGTAAGGGGAACCCCTGCCAGAACCAATTCATTGGTGGTCAGAAAAAAAAAAAAATGGTGGCCAGTGTGAAGAACACCGAACTTACAGACAGCTAAATAGCTCACTGGAGTCACGGAGCTAGCTCTGCTCAGTGGCCCCAGAACTACACTGGTACCATCAACTGGGAGATCAATCAGCCAAAAGGTCAAGGAGCCCCCAGCAAACTTCTGAGGGAGAATAACTGGTCTACAGATCAGAACAGGCCATTCTGGTCTACCCTCGGGGAACTAATTGTGTAATTATGGCCGATCCTCCACCTCTCCGTCCCTGGTCTCAACCCCATCCTCCACCTCTCCGTCCCTGGCCTCAACCCCATCCTCCACCTCTCCGTCCCTGGCCTCAACCCCATCCTCCACCTCTCCGTCCCTGGCCTCAACCCCATCCTCCACCTCTCCGTCCCTGGCCTCAACCCCATCCTCCACCTCTCCGTCCCTGGCCTCAACCCCATCCTCCACCTCTCCGTCCCTGGCCTCAACCCCATCCTCCACCTCTCCGTCCCTGGCCTCAACCCTATCCTCCACCTCTCCCATCCTTGGTCTTGTGCAGATCCTCCACCTCTCCATTCCTGGTCTCACCCCTATCCTCCACCTCTCCCGTCCCTGGTCTTGTGCAGATCCTCCACCTCTCCATTCCTGGTCTCACCCCTATCCTCCACCTCTCCCTTCCTGGTCTCACCCCTATCCTCCACCTCTCCCGTCCTGGTCTCACCCCTATCCTCCACCTCTCCCGTCCTGGTCTCACCCCTATCCTCCACCTCTCCCGTCCTGGTCTCACCCCTATCCTCCACCTCTCCCGTCCCTGGTCTCAACCCTATCCTCCACCTCTCCGTTCCTGGTCTCACCCCCGATCCTCCACCTCTCCGTTCCTGGTCTCACCCCGATCCTCCACCTCTCCGTCCCTGGTCTCACCCCGATCCTCCACCTCTCCGTCCCTGGTTTCACCCAGATTCTCCACCTCTCCATTCCTGGTCTCACTCCTATCCTCCAACTCTCCGTTCCTGGTCTCACCCCTATCCTCCACCTCTCCATTCCTGGTCTCAACCCTATCCTCCACCTCTCCCGTCACTGGTCTTGTGCAGATCCTCCACCTCTCCGTTCCTGATCTCACCCCGATCCTCCACCTCTCCGTCCCTGGTCTCACCCCGATCCTCCACCTCTCCGTCCCTGGTCTCACCCCGATCCTCCACCTCTCCGTCCCTGGTCTCACCCCGATCCTCCACCTCTCCGTCCCTGGTCTCACCCCGATCCTCCACCTCTCCGTCCCTGGTCTCACCCCGATCCTCCACCTCTCCGTCCCTGGTCTCACCCCGATCCTCCACCTCTCCGTCCCTGGTCTCACCCCGATCCTCCACCTCTCCGTCCCTGGTCTCACCCCGATCCTCCACCTCTCCGTCTCTGGTCTCACCCCGATCCTCCACCTCTCTGTCCCTGGTCTCACCTCGATCCTCCACCTCTCCATCCCTGGTCTCCCTCATTTCAACCCATCCCAGTCCGAGATCCCTTTCCCAGTGCTGAGCTGCTGCCTTCTTTCCTCCTGTCCTACCCTGGGGCACCTCACCAAGTTACTACAAAAGGTGTAACTGGTGAAGTGGGAGGGGTTCTATTCTCTAGGGGGTTGGCCTTCTATTTTCTATGTGCCTAGTGTCCATGTCTCCTACAGGTGGCAGACCTCAATGTCTCTATCAATCTCTATCCCTCAATGGATGACCGAGAGAAATTCTGATTGGCTACGATGGGTTGCAGTTCTGTACACATCTCTGTGGCCCCGTACACAGCACAACAGGCAAGAAAAATGACCCCCTCCCCCATCATGCTGTGTCCAAGCCGTACCCTTAAGCGTAGACTGGCTGAAGACCTACGAAACTCTCAAAATCCAACACCTAGATGGCCAAGGGGTGCAAACCCGGCTCTGCATCCAAAAACGTGAAAATCTGCTGATGCCAAGCCAGAAATTGGGCCATTCTCCCTAGAAGCGGGTACAAGACGCCATCTGGGGCTCATTCTCCCTAGAAGCGGGTGCAAGACGCCATCTGGGGGCTCATTCTCCCTAGAAGCGGGGGCCAGACGCCATCTGGGGCTCACTCTCCCTAGAAGCGGGTGCAAGACGCCATCTGGGGCTCATTCTCCCTAGAAGCGGGTGCAAGACTCCATCTGGGGCTCATTCTCCCTAGAAGCGGGTGCAAGACTCCATCTGGGGCTCATTCTCCCTAGAAGCGGGTGCAAGACACCATCTGGGGCTCATTCTCCCTAGAAGCGGGTGCAAGACACCATCTGGGGCTCATTCACCCTAGAAGCGGGTGCAAGACGCCATCTGGGGCTCACTCTCCCTAGAAGCGGGTGCAAGACTCCATCTGGGGCTCATTCTCCCTAGAAGCGGGTGCAAGACTCCATCTGGGGCTCATTCTCCCTAGAAGCGGGTGCAAGACTCCATCTGGGGCTCATTCTCCCTAGAAGCGGGTGCAAGACGCCATCCCCGGCTCATCCTCCGCCCAACACAAGCGCAAGTCCAAAGAAGGAGCAAGTCAGCTGCACTGCAAGATTCAAAATGCGGACAATCGTGATTGATCCGGAGTCCCCCAACCAACGCGTTTCACCCTCGAACCTGGGCTTAAATCGTAGACCAAGCCAATGTTAGTAGGTGAAACGCGTTGGCCGAAGAGGTCTCCTATGATCCACAAAGATCACCAACTGGCTTCCTGCTTTTTTTTGGACTTGCTCTGCATCCCTCGGGGGTTTCTTCCTGTATAAAGTCTAATGAGAACCAAAGTCTGAGAGAGTGACATCATCCCCACCTAGCCAATGACAGCGGCCTAGAAGCCACCCCCCCCCCACCCCCCCGAGGAGGTCCGTGGGAAGACGCATCGATGGAGCAGAGGTAAGGTTTTGCTTTAATAGTATGACATGGCGTATCCAACGCGTTTCGGCGGCTCCTCCCTTCTTGGGGGATACAAAGCGGACGTGAACATTTGTGAATCTCTATCCTGGAAGGAATACGCCCCCAGCTTGACATAAACCCATAAAGTAGTTCAAGTATATTGAGATCCCTTTTATAGCCCTGAAGCGGGAAGTCTTTGAGCTTCCGAAACGCGTTGGGTGGGCACCGCCATCATTGGTGAACCAAAACCAACAATTTCTAGACTCCCAGACTGGTTGGCACTCTCATTAGACCTGAATCTTCCAATCTGAGGCCCCAGTTTGAGGGACAACCCCCATTGCTGCTAAGAGCGGCCGCATCGGAGCCACTACGTCTTATCGCGACTGGACCAATCATCCGATGATCTGAATCTAGCGCTTCGTTTCTATTGGTTACAGTTCCCCGATGGATCTAAACTGTGTGAGATGGGACAGATCGGGGTGCTCATCCAGAGATGACCTCAATGGCCGACACGTAGAAAGAAGTGGCCGAACGCCTCCATCCGGGAAGATGGGATTCGGATTCCGGGACAGCGATGGTTCACAGGGTGGTGACAACCTCACTCAAGTCCTTTAGATTGAAGACCGGGGGGCGCGGGGACCGGTGGATGAGACGCACTCTACGAATAAATGGCGTTCGGGGTGGGGGGGGGGTGGGTGACGAAGGGGGGGGGAACAGGAATTCCAGCATGCAGCGGCTCCGGCTACAATCATTATTGCCGTTCGGTCAAGAACCATCTTGGCTGAAATCCCACAAAAAAAAGAGGCCTACAAGTCCCATAGCGTGTGGCTGAGAAGGGGGGAAGTTAACCGTGAGGTCACCCCTCCCCCACCTCAGAATCATGGGGGTTAACCTTGAGGTCACCTCAGAATGGGGATGGGGGTTAACCTTGAGGTCACCTCAGAATGGGGATTAACCTTGAGGTCACCTCAGAATGGGGATGGGGGTTAACCTTGAGGTCACCTCAGAATGGGGATGGGGGGTTAACCTTGAGGTCACCTCAGAATGGGGATGGGGGTTAACCTTGAGGTCACCTCAGAATCGGGATGGGGGGGTTAACCTTGAGGTCACCTCAGAATCGGGATGGGGGTTAACCTTGAGGTCACCTCAGAATCGGGATGGGGGTTAACCTTGAGGTCACCTCAGAATCGGGATGGGGGGGTCAACCTTGAGGTCACCTCAGAATCGGGATGGGGGGTCAACCTTGAGGTCACCTCAGAATCGGGATGGGGGTTAACCTTGAGGTCACCTCAGAATCGGGATGGGGGTTAACCTTGAGGTCACCTCAGAATCGGGATGGGGGTTAACCTTGAGGTCACCTCAGAATCGGGATGGGGGTTAACCTTGAGATCACCTCAGAATCGGGATGGGGGTTAACCTTGAGGTCACCTCAGAATCGGGATGGGGGTTAACTTTGAGGTCACCTCAGAATCGGGATGGGGGTCAACCTTGAGGTCACCCCTCCCCACCTCAGAATCGGGGATGCATTGTACAAAATCAAAGACAAAAAAGGAAGGTTTCTAGAAGGCACAAATCAGTATTGTAGAGCGGCCGCCACAGATGGTTGTGTGCTAGGAGAAGTGGAGCCCGTCTTGTGCTGAGGGGGAGGGTAGGAGATCTGTTCGTCCGCCATCTTGATGGGTACAGTTCGCTCCCTTGCGTGTGATTAAGGGGGTATTCCGGGTCTCACTGTCCCACTTGTGCATTAGGACCCCTAAAGATTCCCTGAAAATGACGGAAGGGAGCCACCCGCCACGATGACGGGCCCTCAATGAGATACAGTAGAAGGGTGGACGACCCCGCCCCCCTCGTGTGATTGGAGAGTCTAAAGAAGAAAGAACGTGGCTGTCTGTGGCTGATTGGCCGGGCGGGCCTCACTGTCTCCGCTCCACGGGTTGTTGAAGACACAGCTCGCTCCCGGCGGAGATGATGGGTAAGTGATTGTCCATGTGGTAGCTGATGAGGTGGCTCACGCTCTCAAAGCGGTGGTCCTTAGTCCGAACCTGGCAAGAAGAGAAGACCAGTTAAGGATTTCCAGAGCCCACCATTCCACGGACCCCCGACAGGAAGCGGAGGAGGAAACTCACCACTCCCTCCGGATCCACCAGCAGAAGGTGTTTCGGCTGCCCATTCTGGAGGCCGGTCAGGACGTACTGCCCCGGGGTGGTGGTGCTCTCTCTTACTAGGAAGTCTCCATTGACTCGTAGAAGCCTCTCTGCCTCCTTCCGGGTCACCTTCCCATGATACCACGGCTCCCGCTTCAGCTGCTCCTCCATGCTGACGATGGGCTGGCCCGGGGGAAGAGATTCTTCAAATGGCTCTGTGGACATGGAGGATATTGAGAAAATATACGGAACCCCCTCCCCCAATCATCCCCCGCACAGCACTGCTCCTTCTTGGTGTCGAAGGAAGCCCAGAGTCAATCAACCCCTCAACTCGGCAGAGTCAGGGCGTCTGAGGAAGGAGGTACAACCCTCGAAATGTGATACCACCTGGGTCCTGGCGGGCTCAGAGGAACACGTGTGGTGGGTACAAATACCAACACTGACTCCTCCCCCACCTAGAATACTGACCCCTCCCCCACCCAGAATACTGACCCCTCCCCCACCTATAATACTGACCCCTCCTCCACCTAGAATACTGACCCCTCCCCCACCCAGAATACTGACCCCCTCTCCACCTTTAAGACTGACTCCTCCCCCACCTATAATACTGACCCCTCCCCCACCCAGAATACTGACCCCTCCCCCACCCAGAATACTGACCCCTCCCCCCACTAGAATACTGACCCCTCCCCCACCCAGAATACTGACTCCTCCTCCACCCAGAATACTGACCCCTCCCCACCCAGAATACTGACCCCTCCTCCACCCAGAATACTGACCCCTCCTCCACCAGAATACTGACCCCTGACCTCCTCCACCCAGAATACTGACCCCTCCTCCACCCAGAATACTGACCCCTCCTCCACCTTTAAGACTGACCCCTCCTCCACCTTTAATACTGACCCCTCCCCCACCCATAGAATACTGCCCCCCTCCCCCACCTAGAATACTGACCCCTCACCCATATCAGCCCCTCCTCCCCTTACCATAGTACTACAAATACCAACACTGACTCCCTCCCCCCACCTATAATACTGACCCCCCTCCCCCACCCATAATACTGACCCCCCTCCCCCACCTAGAATACTGACCCTTCCTCCATATTAGCTCCTCCTCCCTACCATAGTACTACACACACCAACTGACCCCTCCCCCACCTACAATACTGACCCCTCCCCCATACTATAGTACTACAAATACCAACATTGACCCTTCCCCCACCTATAATACTGACCCCCCCCTACTATAGTACTACAACACTGACCCCTCCCCACCTATAATACTGACCCTCCCCCTACTATAGTACTACAAATACCAACATTGACCCTTCCCCCACCTATAATACTGACCCCACCCCCCCTACTATAGTACTACAACACTGACCCCTCCCCCACCTATAATACTGACCCCCCACCACCTACTATAGTACTACAAATAACACTGACCCCTCCCCCACCTATAATACTGACCCCTCCCCCTACTACATAGTACTACAACACTGACCCCTCCCCCACCTATAATACTGACCCCACCCCCACCTATAGTACTACAAAATAACACTGACCCCTCCCCCACCATATACTGCCCCCACCCCCTACTATAGTACTACAAATAACACTGACCCCTCCCCCACCTATAATACTGACCCCTCCCCCACCCATAATACTGACCCCACCCCCCTACTATAGTACTACAATATAACACTGACCCCTCCCCCACCTATAATACTGACCCCTCCCCCACCTATATACTGACCCCCTCAACCCAAAATATAGTACTACAAGAACACTGACCCCTCCCCCACCAATACTGGCCCCTTCTTATTATAGTACTACAAATAACAACACTGACCCCTCCCCCACCCACACCAGAAAATAACCCCCTCCCCCCCATTCCCAGGGACAGCTCCAGCCGTTCCCTGCTCTGCTCCTGCACAGCCACCCAAGTCTGAATCCTGTCCCTGTGATTGGTTTACATCCCTAAGCCCAGCCACCCCCCAGAATGAGGGTTACGTTAGGCCCGGCCCACCTAGGACAAGCTGCAGACTCACTCATGTCAAAGATGTCCCTCTGGCCGTTGGTGGTCCCTCGCAGCGGCTGCCGGGACTTCTCCAGGTTCTGGACGTTGACATATGAAGGGTCATCGAAGAGGTCAGGCCGATTCAGGGGCTTGGCGCCCGGTACGGGAAACGCTCCTTACCTGAAACAAGGGAACGCGGGAATGAAGCCGGGGGAGGGGCCAGATATAGACTAGGAGGGACACTGTGACCGGACCCAGGGGGGGGAGGGCCAGATATAGCTCAGGGACTAGGAAAAAAACAGTGACTGGACCCAGGGGGGGAGGGGCCAGATATAGCTCAGGGACTAGGAGGAAAACAGTGACTGGACCCAGGGGGGAGGGGCCAGATATAGCTCAGGGACTAGGAGGAAAACAGTGACTGGACCCAGGGGGGAGGGGCCAGATATAGCTCAGGGACTAGGAGGAAAACAGTGACTGGACCCAGGGGGGAGGGGCCAGACTATAGCTCAGGGACTAGGAGGAAAACAGTGACTGGACCCAGGGGGGAGGGGCTAGATATAGTTTGGGGGACTAGGAGGGTCACGGTGACTGGACCCAGGGGGGAGGAGCCAGATATAGCTCAGGGACTAGGAGGGACACAGCGACTGGACCCAGGGGGGAGTAGCCAGATATAGTTTGGGGACTAGGAGGGACACGGTGACTGGACCCAGGGGGGAGGAGCCAGAAAAAGCTCGGGGACTAGGAGGGACACGGTGACTGAACCCCAGGGGGAGGGGCCAGATATAGCTCAGGGACCAGGAGGGAAACGGTGACTGGACCCAGGGGGGAGGAGCCAGATATAGCTCAGGGACTAGGATGGACACGGTGACTGGACCCAGGGGGGAGGAGGGCCAGATATAGCTCGGGGACTAGGAGGGACACGGTGACCGAACCCTCCCAAAGCAGGAGTCAGGAAAAGGGTGGAGCCAAGAAAAGAGGCATCATCTATAGATCAAACATGAGGAGGGTGGAGTTATCAGGGAAGGCGGAGTCACCTGTGTATAGGGTTTCCTTTAGCACTGACCTTGCACAGAGGCCTGTGGCTGCAGCTTCCGTGGGTCCTGCTCCGCCCCGGTGATCTGCCCCACTGGCTGTGGACAGGAAAGGACGGTCACACGACTATTGCATATATATCTCCCCCCCCCCCCATCCCATCTCAGTGCTGGCTCACCAGCGTGGCCCCCATGTGGTTGGGGCTTTGCCTCGGGACAGCAGGAGCCGCTCCCTCCCGTAACCTCATGTCCACCACCCGCCGAGTGGCGGCTCTTTGCCTGGAAAATCGTTGTAGTAGGCGTGGTCTGGAAGCTCCTCCTCTTCCTCGTCCCACGCGGAGCCGTCAAAACCGGCCATCCTGGAAATAGAAGGGAACCATTACAGGTTCTGTCCCACATCTCTGACCACCATACTGGGGGGGGGGGGGGGTACCTGTCATGGGGAGTCACTAATTTTGGGGGGTTTTTGAGGTATTGTTTGAAGCGAAGTTCAAAGGCCTGTCCGATGGTGCTGATCACATCCTGGGCGAGGCCCTCAGGGCACTCCAATATGTGGCAGGCTGCGGGGACACAGACAGTTCATGTTACCATTCTGTGAAGGACTTCGCCTGATACTTCCTCCCACGGGACCTCCTCCCCCATCCTCCCTCCCACGGGACCTCCTCCTCCCCCATCCTCCCTCCCCACGGGTCCTCCCTCCTCCCCCACCCCCCCCCCTCCTCCCACGGGAACCTCCTCCCCCCTTCCTTCCTCCCCCACGGGACCTCCTCCCCCTCCCACCCCCCATTCCCCCTCCCTCCCACGGGGACCTCCCTCATACCCTCCTCCCCCCACCTCCTCCCCTCCTCCCTCTCCTCCCCCCCTCCCTCCCACGGGACCTCCTCCCTCCCTCCCACGGGACCTCCTCCCCCATCCTCCCTCCCACGGGACCTCCTCCCCCATCCTCCCTCCCACGGGACCTCCTCCCCCATCCTTCCTCCCACGGGACCTCCTCCCCCATCCTCCCTCCCACGGGTCCCCTCCTCCCCCTCCTCCCCCCATCCTCCCTCCCTCCCACGGGACCCTTCCTCCCCCATCTCCCCCTCCACCTTCCTCCTCCTCCATCCGGGACCTCCTCCCCTCCTCCCCCTCCCCTCCCACGGGACCTCCTCCCCTTCCTCCCTCCCACGGGACCCTCCTCCCCCATCCTCCCTCCCCACGGGACCTCCTCCCCCATCCTCCCTCCCACGGGACCTCCTCCCCCATCCCCCTCCCACGGGACCTCCTCCCCCATCCTCCCTCCCACGGGACCTCCTCCCCCATCCTCCCTCCCACGGGACCTCCTCCCCCCCATCCCCTCCCTCCCACGGGACCTCCTCCCCCATCCTCCCCTCCCACGGGACCTCCTCCCCATCCTCCCTCCTCCCACGGACCTCCTCCCTCCTCCCACGGAACCTCCTCCCCCCTTCCTCCCTCCCACGGGACCTCCTCCCCATCCTCCCTCCCACGGGACCTCCTCCCCCATCCCTCCTCCCACGGGACCTCCTCCCCCCATCCTCCCTCCCACGGGACCTCCCCCCCCCATCCTCCCTCCCACGGGACCTCCTCCCCATCCTCCCTCCCACGGGACCTCCCCCCATCCTCCCTCCCACGGGACCTCCTCCCCCATCCTCCCTCCCACGGGACCTCCCCCCCATCCTCCCTCCCTCCCACGGGACCCTCCTCCCCCATCCTCCCTCCCACGGGACCTCCTCCCCCTCCCACGGGACCTCCTCCCCCATCCTCCCTCCCACGGACCTCCTCCCCCCATCCTCCCACGACCTCCTCCCCCCCATCCTCCCTCCCACGGGACCTCCCTCCCCTTCCTCCCCCCATCCACGGGACCTCCTCCCCCATCCTTCCTCCCACGGGACTCCCTTGCCTCCCTCCCACGGGACCTCCTCCCCCATCCTCCCTCCCACGGGACCTCCTCCCCCATCCTCCCTCCCACGGGACCTCCTCCACCCCCCTTCCTCCCTCCCACGGGACCCTCCCCCCCCCGCTCCTCCCTCCCACGGGACCTCCTCCCCCTCCCCCCATCCTCCCTCCTCCCACTGGGACCTCCTCCCCCCTTCCTTCCTCCCACGGGACCTCTTCCTTCCACCACACGGGACTCCCTCCCCTCAGGACCTCCTCCCCTTCCTCCCTCCCACAGGACATCCTCCCTCCCACGGGACGGGACCTCCTCCCCTTCCTCCCTCCCACGGGACCTCCTCCCCCATCCTTCCTCCCACGGGACCTCCTCCCCCATCCTCCCTCCCCAGACCTCCTCCCCTATCCCTCCCACGGGACCTCCTCCCCCTCCTCCCTCCTCCCACGGGACCTCCTCCCCCATCCTCCCTCCCACGGGACCTCCTCTCCCCATCCTCCCTCCCACGGGACCTCCTCCCCCATCCTTCCTCCCACGGGACTTCCTTGCCTCCTCCCACGGAACCTCCTCCCCTTCCTCCCTCCCACCCACCTCTCTCCTCCCCTTCCTCCCTCCCACGGGACCTCCTCCCCCATCCCCTCCCACGGGACTTCCTTGCCTTCCTCCCCACGGGACCTCCTCCCCCCATCCTCCCTCCCACGGGACTTCCTTGCCTTCCTCCCACGGGACCTCCTCCCCCATCCTCCCTCCCACGGGACCTCCTCCCCCATCCTCCCCCACGGGACCTCCTCCCCCATCCTCCCACGGGACCTCCTCCCCCATCCTCCCTCCCACGGGACCTCCTCCCCCATCCTCCCTCCCACGGGACCTCCTCCCCCATCCTCCCTCCCACGGGACTTCCTCCCACGGGACTTCCTCCCACGTTGCAGCTCTGGTGCTTGGTGATTGGCTGCTCAGGTACAAGCCCCAAACACGACCTGCAGTTCATGGGGTGAAGAGAACTTGTTGCGCAGGCTCACTTTAACCCCTCCCACTGGTGGCATCGCAGAGGCGGGCCAACGCATCACACAGCTCTACCCCCTTTTTGTACAAACTTTATTTGAAGTGTACAAAAATACACTTCAGGCACATCGCTGTGCAGCATCTGCCGCTTGAAGTGGCTGAAAAGGCTGAAGGTTACATTCAATGCATGAAGGTAATCCCCCCCCCTTCCTCATTGGCTGACAAACAAGAGGCCTCATTGGCTCAAATCACAGCCAGTAAGGAGTGGGGGGCGGGGCCGAGCGTGTCTTATGAATGCATAGAGCAGGGCTCAGGAGCGAGCACGCACTAGTACCCCCAAAGCAAACGGATTGCCATTGGGGGCACTGGTCAAGGGGGAGGAGCCAGGAGTGCCAGCGGGGGACCCGTGAAGAAGAGGATCGGGGAACCATTACATTAGGGGGACACCTTTGGAATCCGAGGGGTTAAATCCAGCGGGGGGAAGGTGACAACACCTCCTCCCCGCTTGACGAATCTTCGAAGAGCGCTACTAACGCCGATCGCTCTTCAGAGAGCAAACGAGGCCTACATGTATGTCACACACACCGAGTCCCTTCCAAGGGAGATTATCCCATAATATGTCTCCACCAAGTCACACGGGAATTAAAGGGGAACCCCACCCCCGCACTCTTCTTACCTCTTTGATTCACTGGATCTTTGGCAACGTAAGCTACATACTCTGCTGTGTCCTGCAATACGGAGGAAGAACGGTTACCCAGAATCCTCTAGTCCTGCAGACCTGACTTTTATTTAACCCCTTCCTGCCGGCCCAGGTACATAAACGGCCGGACGTGAGCAGTGCAGGGACGGGTGACCGTTTATAAATGTCCTCCTGCTTCGCTCCCTGGGAGCAAGCGGCACTGCAATCACCGATCGCTGCACGGGACCTCTGTGTGAGGTCCAGACCATGTGATCACTGATTGGCCAATCAGTGAGGCACCGCAATCTGGTGTCCACTGTCCGATCGCTGTACAGGACCCTCTGTGCGAGGTCCCGATCATGTGATCCCCAATTGGCCAATCAGTGATCACATGCAGAGTAGTAAGCAAGATGTTACTTCTGACATCATTGCTTACTACGTGTGAAATCTGTGATCACAGAGATCACATGGTACAGGGCAATTCACAACAGCCCTGTACCATGTGACAAGCTGTGACCAATCACAGCTCACACAGTATTTCTCAAGGGCTGCAGAAGAAATGGTTGTGAAATGTGTGAATGATCACAGAGATCACATGGTACAGGAGCCATTCACAACAGCCCTGTACCATGTGACAAGCTGTGACCAATCACAGCTCACAACAGTATTTCTCAATGGCTGCAGAAGAAATGGTTGTGAAATGTGCGAATGATCACAGAGATCACATGGTACAGGGCCATTCACAACAGCCCTGTACCATGTGACAAGCTGTGACCAATCACAGCTCACACAGTATTTCTCAAGGGCTGCAGAAGAAATGGTTGTGAAATGTGTGAATGATCACAGAGATCACATGGTACAGGGCCATTCACAACAGCCCTGTACCATGTGACAAGCTGTGACCAATCACAGCTCACACAGTATTTCTCAAGGGCTGCAGAAGAAATGGTTGTGAAATGTGCGAATGATCACAGAGATCACATGGTACAGGGCCATTCACAACAGCCCTGTACCATGTGACAAGCTGTGACCAATCACAGCTCACACAGTATTTCTCAATGGCTGCAGAAGAAATGGTTGTGAAATGTGCGAATGATCACAGAGATCACATGGCACAGGGCCATTCACAACAGCCCTGTACCATGTGACAAGCTGTGACCAATCACAGCTCTCACAGTATTTCTCAATGGCTGCAAGAATGCAGCCAGAGAGAAGGAGAAAATGATTCCTCTTACAGCCTTTATGGGTGTAAAAGCAATCAGTGTAAAAATAGAAAACAAAAATCTTTATCACCCCCCACAAGTAGTACAGTGTCACCATGGTAACACTGTACTGCTAGGGTGACAGGATGTAAAAAACAAAAAACAAATAATTTAAAAAAAAAAAATTTAAAAAATGTAAAAAAAGTTTTTAAAAATTATAATTTTTTGTCAAACTAATTAGTTTTTTGTTTGTTTTTTTTTACTAAAAAGATAACAGAATACATTTTGGCCGAGATTTATGAAAAAAGATTATTTATTTGCAAAATTTTATAAGAAAAACTTTTTTTTTTTTTCAACATTTTTGGACTTTTTCATTTATATATAGCATAAAAATAAATATCCCAGCGGTGAATAAATACCACCAAAATAAAGTTTTATCTGTCTCAAAAAAAATGCTAAAAAATTCATATGGGTCCAGTGTTGCATGACCGCGCAATTGTCATTCAAAATGTGACAGCGCTGAGAGCTGAAAGTTGGCCTGGGGGGGGGGGGGGTGCAAGTGATGACCAGACTGGAAGTGGTTAATAACCCCCCCCCCCGCATACAATGCCCCCCCCACACTCACCGGATCTCCCCCGGAGGCGAAGGATATGGACTGCATGTGGTGATTTGCGATGATCTGCAGGAACCGGAGAAATCATTATTATTAGACGTCATTAAAGATGAAGTTTGCTCTCCTCCTGCCGTTCCTTCCCTGGTTCCCCTCCCCCGGTCCCCCCCCCCCCCGCCCCCCATCAACAAAATCTTTCCGTTTTCATGTTATTGTAGACCCAATGACATCATCACTGAGTCTCTGTGCTTCTCTATGCAACGCATGCAGGTCATGGTTGGCGGGAGGGGCTGGCAATGTGCTGCCTCAGTATTACCCTCAGTCCTGATGCAAGTAGTGGGAGGAGTTATGCAAATATCAAAATCGGTGGGAGTCAGACTGGAGGTGTGGGCGTTCCTAGGCAGGCTGTATTGGCATAGGTAACGCCCACATGTGATGCAGAGCCTCCATAATTGCAAGAAATGATGAAAAAGGGGTGGGGCCTGGGACAGTAAGGCTGAGGAGGGAAGAGCTAGATGATGCTGGACGTCCTCCAGCCAGGAAATGGGGCGGAGCTCTATCGGACAGGCTGCAGCTTCTAATGCATTGTGGGAAGCTCCCAGTGTGCGGTGACATCAGAGAAAGCCATTCCAGTCCGGGGGAGGAGCCGCCACACCTGTGCGGGGAGGAGGCTGGAGGGGAGGAGCCGCCACACCTGTGCGAGGCTGACGGGGAGGAGCCGCCACACCTGTGCGAGGCGGACGGGGAGGAGCCGCCACACCTGTGCGAGGACGGGGAGGAGCCGCCACACCTGTGCGAGGCTGACGGGGGAGGAGCCGCCACACCTGTGCGAGGCTTGGAGGGGAGGACGGGGAGGAGCCGCCACACCTGTGCGAGGCGGACGGGGAGGAGCCGCCACACCTGCAAGGCGGCGGGGAGGCTGACGGGGGAGGAGCCGCCACACCTGTGCGAGGCGGACGGGGAGGAGCCGCCACACCTGTGCGAGGCTGACGGGGAGGAGCCGCCACACCTGTGCGAGGCTGACGGGGAGGAGCCGCCACACCTGTGCGAGGCTGACGGGGAGGAGCCGCCACACCTGTGCGAGGCGGACGGGGAGGAGCCGCCACACCTGTGCGAGGCTGAAGGGGAGGAGCCGGTGCACCTGTGCACGAGGCGGACGGGGAGGAGCCGCCACACCTGTGCGAGGCTGACGGGGAGGAGCCGCCGCACCTGTGCGAGGCGGACAGGGGAGGAGCCGCCGCACCTGTGCGAGGCGGACGGGGAGGAGAGGCTGTGCGAGGCGGACGGGGAGGAGCCGCCACACCTGTGCGAGGCGGACGGGGAGGAGCCGCCACACCTGTGCGAGGCGGACGGGGAGGAGCCGCCGCACCTGTGCGAGGCTGAAGGGGACGGGGGAGCCGCCGCACCTGTGCGAGGCGGACAGGGGAGGAGCCGCCGCACCTGTGCGAGGCGGACAGGGGAGGAGCCGCCGCACCTGTGCGAGGCTGAAGGGGAGGAGCCGACACACCTGTGCGAGGCGGACGGGGAGGAGCCGCCGCACCTGTGCGAGGCGGACAGGGGAGGAGCCGCCACACCTGTGCGAGGCGGACAGGGGAGGAGCCGCCACACCTGTGCGAGGCGGACGGGGAGGAGCCCGCGGCGGGGAGGAGCCGCCGCACCTGTGCGAGGCTGGAGGGGAGCCGCCACACCTGTGCGAGGCTGGAGGGGAGCCGCCGCACACCTGTGCGAGGCTGGAGGGGAGGAGCCGCCACACCTGTGCGAGGCTGGAGGGGAGGAGCCGCCACACCTGTGCGAGGCTGGAGGGGAGGAGCCGCCACACCTGGAGGGGGAGGAGCCGCCACACCTGTGCGAGGCTGGAGGGGAGGAGCCGCCACACCTGTGCGAGGCTGGAGGGGAGGAGCCGCCACACCTGTGCGAGGCTGGAGGGGAGGAGCCGCCACACCTGTGCGAGGCTGGAGGGGAGGAGCCGCCACACCTGTGCGAGGCTGGAGGGGAGGAGACTTGGTATGGCACCTCTGCGGCAGTAGAGACTCACTGATATCATCCAGAGCGCTGGCAATTCTCTTACTGTCCCCCGTCTCCGCCCACAGTGGTGGGGTGCACTATACAGGGCGGAGCCTATCTGGGAAGGTAAGTACTGAGGGTCGGCTCACCTGCTTGCAGTCGGAAGCCATGAGGTTGAGGCTGCTGGTGGACACGGTGAGGGTGATCGGCATCCCAGCAAACTTCAGGTTGCACTTCCCCAGGATGGAGTTGAGGGCGCGGCCTCCCGTCTGCGAGACACAACCAGACCGATCAATAGAGACGCGGCGTTCACACTGACCCCTCCCCCTCTGACCACACCCCTCCATTAACAGCAACAAATATTGATCACTTCACTGCCTGAGGCCTCCTCTGTACGGGGGAGGGGATTAACCCTGCGGCTGCCAACCGCAGCAAAGGAGGTCACTCCGCCCACAACGGACAATCCCGTTCTGAGAGCTCCACCCCCATCTACTGTATTAAAGTGCGACTCCGGCCCAAATCAGAACCCCTGGTGGCTCTTACTGCAGTGGGAGGGGTTATGAAAATATGGGCGGGTGTCAGTCTGGAGGAGTGGGCATGCCTAGAAAGGTTGTATTTGCATAGGTAACGCCCACCTGAGATGCTGAGTCTCAACGGTTGGAAGAACTGATGAAAGGGGCGGGGCACGGGACCACCGGGCTGGGGAGGAAAGCGCTAGATGATGCTGGACGTCCTCAAGCCAGGAAATGGGGTGGGTTCTAATAAAAGGGGCGGAGACAGGCTGGGGAGGAAAAGGGCCCCAGCAATGTGGTGCGGGAAACGCACAGGCTTCAGAGAGTTTCCCGCACCGCAGTGGTGCGAACCGGGTCTTAATGAGGGTCTCCTCTACTCCCCAGGGGAGGGGCAGAGATTAAACTCCGCCCACTCAGTGCTAGCCTGTGGCGTTGGAGGTCCCAGGGACTCAGCAATGACAGGAGAGGACTCCAAATGTTCAGTCACTGTACTGTATCTATGGAAGAGCAGCGTTGTCTCCCTAGGACTACAAAACACCTCCATCTCTCCGCATCTACATAGCCTACTTCTGTAGTCCCGTCCTAGGGAGACACCGCTGCTCTTCCATAGATACAGTACAGTGAGCTGAACATTGTCACCCTAGAGCGGGGACTACAAAACACCTCCATCTCTCACCTACATAACCTAGGGGGAGGTGTTCTGTAGTCCCGTCCTAGGGAGATACTGCTGCTCTTCCATAGATACAGTACAGTGACTGAACATTGTCACCCTAGGATGGGACTACAGAACACCTCCTCCTCTGTTATGGGGATAAGGTGGAGGTGTTCTGTAGCCCAGTCCTAGGGTGACAAAACAAATTCACTATACAGTATCTATGGAGGCAGTGTTGCCAGCCTAGGGCAGGACTACAGAACACCTCCACCTCTCCTCCTCTACATAACCTAGTGGGGAGAGGTGTTCAGTAGTCCTGTGCTAGGTAGGCAACATAGGTGTCTTCCTTGCATACAGTATAATGAATGAGCATTGTCACCCTAGGACAGGACTACAGAACACCTCCTCCTTGTGTTAAGGGGATGAGGAGAGGTGGAGGTGTTCTGTAGTGTCTTGCCTAGGATGACATTGCTGCTGTTGCATAGATACAGTGAACAAACATTGTCACCCTAGGACAAGACTACAGAACGCCTCCCCTTTTTCTCCTCATCTACAGGGCTTGGTTCTGTAGTCTTGCCCTTAGGATAACAATCCTCATTCCCTACACAGTATCTTATAGAACAATAGTGCTGTCACTCTAGGATCAGGACTACAGAACACCTCCATCCTCTCCACAAATGCATAAATACATTGACACTGTCATCCTGGAACAAGACTACAGAACACCTCCACCTCTACATAAACATTAGTGAAAGGGTTGTTCTGTAGTCCTGTCCTGGGGGTGACAACGCTCATTTGCTGTCACTTATCATTGGTAGTAGCAGTGTTGTCAACCTGGGGGAAAGCAATACAGAAACCCCCCCCCCCCCGTACATAACATGGGGGGAGGGAGGGGTTCTGTAGTTTCTGTTGAATGTGACAAAACACTTACTCACTGTACTGTATTTATCCTAAGACAGGATTATGGAAACACCCTGCTCATCTCATAACACAGGGGGGAGGTGTTCTGTAGTTCACAGATGTGAAAATGGAATTGATACAGCACAAGAAGTTATCAGCTCCCCGGATTTCTGGCAGGATCAACCAGGTGTGGCTGAACAGACCAATGCGGGGTCACAGACGGTACATCTGCCTTTAGGAGGAACCAATCAGACGTTCCGTACCGGAGGAGATCACCATGACCAGCAGACCCACCTTGTGACTTGTGTCCCTGGTATTGAAGTCCAGAGCGCGCATCGACTGCAGAACCTCACACAGCCATGTACTGGAAGACAGGGGAGAGGACGGCCAATGGTGAGAGACTGCGGGGGGGGGGGGGGGGGGGGGAGAGGGAGGAGAGAGGGAGGGAGGGAGGAGGAAGAGAGGAGGGGAGAGAGGAGGAGGGGGAGGAGGGGAGGGAGAGAGAGGGGGGGAGAGGGTGAGAGAGAGAGGGGGGGGGAGAGGGTGAGAAGAGAGGGGGGAGGGAGGGAGAGAGAGATGGGGAGGGAGGGAGAGAGAGAGGGGGGAGGGGGGAGGGAGTGGGGAGAGGGAGAGAGAGGGGGGAGGGAGGGGAGAAGAGGGGGCGATGGGAGGGGAGAGGAGGGGGAGGGAGAGGGAGATGAGAGGGGAGGGATGAGAGGAGGGGAGGGGAGGGAGAGATGGAGGGGGGGAGGGAGGGAGAGATGAGGAGGGGGGAGAGATGAGAGGGGGGGAGAGGGAGAGGGGGGAGGGGATGGAGAGGGGGGGAGGGAGAGATGCGATGGGGGAGGGAGAGATGAGAGGGTGGGAGGGAGGAATGAGAGGGGGGGAGGGAGAGATGAGATGGGGGGATCAGGGGGAGAGATGAGAGGGGGGAGGGAGAGAGATGAGAGGAGGGGGAGAGGGGGAGAGAGAGAGAGGGGGGGAGGGATGGAGAGAGAGAGGGGGGGGGGAGGGGAGAGAGAGAGAGGGGGGGGGAGGGGAGAGGGAGGAGAGTAGAGAGGGGGGAGGGAGGGGAGAGAGAGTGAGAGAGATGGTGGGAGGGGAGGGAGAAGAGAGTGGGAGGGAGGGGAGGAGAGGCGTGGGAGGATGGGGAGTGAGAGGGGGGAGGGAGAGATGAGAGGGGGGAGGGAGGGGAGAGGGAGGTGAGAGATGAGAGGGGGGGAGGGGGGAGAGAGATGAGAGGTGGGGAGAGGGAGGGAGAGAGATGAGAGGGGGAGGAGGAGGATGAGAGGGGAGAGAGAGGGAGAGAGGGGGGGAGGGAGAGATGAGAGGGGGGAGGGAGAGGAGAGAGGGAGAGGAGAGAGGGGGAGGGAGAGAGAGCGGGGGAGGGAGAGTGAGAGGTGGGGGGAGAGAGAGCTGGGGGGAGGATGAGAGGGGGAGGGAGGGAGGGGGGGGGAGATGTGAGGCGGGGGCGGAGGAAGGAGGAGGGGGGAAGAGAGGGGGGCGGATTGAGAGAGAGGGAGAGAGAGGGGAGGAGGGAGAGGGGAGGGAGAGAGGGAGAGGGGGGAGAGGGAGGATTGAGGGAGGGGGAGGGGAGGGATGGGAGAGAGGGTGAGAGAGGGAGAGAGGGGGGGGGGAGGGAGAGAGACGGGGGGAGGGGAGAGAGTGGGGGGGGAGGGATGAGAGAGGGGAGGGAGAGATGAGAGGGGGGAGGGAGGAGAGGGGAGGGAGGGAGAGATGAGAGGGGGGAGAGAGGGGAGGGAGGGATGAGAGGGGAGGGAGGGAGAGAGGGGAGAGGGGGTGAGAGGGGGGGGAGGGAGAGAGGGGTGTGGAGAGGGGAGGGAGAGGAGAGAGGGAGAGAGGGGGGGGGAGAGAGAGGGGGGGGGGAGGGGAGATGAGAGGGGTTGGAGGGGAGGAGAGAGGGGGGGAGGAGAGGATGAGAGGGAGGGAGAGTGTGGAGGGAGGGCGTGGAGGGAGGGGGGGAGAGAGAGGGGAGGGAGAGAGAGGGAGGGAGAGTATTTGTGGAGGGGAGAGGGGAGAGGGTGGTCTGAGGGAGAGTCAGGGAGGTGGGGCGTGGCCTACTAAAGGGTGACTCCCTCCGGGCGGGGAGGGAGGGATGAGAGGGAGGGAGGGAGATGTGTCATCCCAGGGGGGGGGAGGGATTTCCCCGGGGGGATGGGAGAGATCTCTGGAATGCAGAGACTACAAGTCCCATTCTTCCCCCCCGGAGAGTCTGTCCCTCGGTGTACACACAGGAAGAGTCAGCAGGTGGCCCCCCCCCCCCCCCCTCCAGGCTCCCCTCCCCCCCCCAGGCTCGGAGTCGCCCCCCGCCACACAACGATGACGTTTCTTTCTGCACATATTATTACAGAAGGTGGACTTGTCCCTTTAAGGGTTTGTAATGTTTTCCACCAATCCAGTGACTCCCCTCTCCTAGTCAGGCAGATGGCTCCGCCTCCCCGGGATCACCATCACACTTCCTGGGTCAGCTTATCCTGCTCATTGGTCAGCGGATTTGAAGAGGTCCATTCACTGCTGCCCAATCACAGTCTGTGGGGGGCGGGGCAGTGACACAGGAAGACTCAGTTCAGTATACAGAGCGGTGTAGACAGAGGGGGGGTATATACGGGGTGGGAGAGGTATTATAGGGGTGTATACAGAAGAGTATATATGGGGGTGGGGGGGGATGAGGGTACACAGATGGGGTATATATACAGGGTGGGGGGGTATGGGTGCACACAGAAGGGGGTATATACAAGGTGGTGGGTGGGTATATATACAGAGTGGGTGGGATGAGGGTACAGAGGGGGTATATATACAGAGTGGGTGGGATGAGGGTACACAGAGGGGTATATATACGGGGGGGATGAGGGTACACAGAGGGGGTATATACGGGGGTGGGTGGGGTATATATACGGAAGGGTGGGGGGGATGAGGGTACACAGAGAGGGGGTTATATACGAGGTGGGGGGATGAGGGTACACAGAGAGGGGGTATATATGAGGTGGGGGGATGAGGGTACACAGAGGGGGTATATATGAGGTGGGGGGATGAGGGTACACAGAGGGGGTATATACGGGGTGGGGGGGATGAGGGTACACAGAGGGGGGTATATACGAGGTGGGGGGGGGGTTATATATACGAGGTGGGGGGGATGAGGGTACACAGAGGGGGTATATATACAGGGTGGGGGGGGTATATATACGGGGTGGGGGGGGGAGATGAGGGTACACAAAGGGGGTATATACGGGGTGGGGGGGGGATGAGGGTACACAGAGGGGGGGGTATATACGAGGTGGGGGGGATGAGGGTACACAGAGGGGGGTTATATACGAGGTGGGGGGTATATATACGGGGTGGGGGGGGGGGGATGAGGAGAGGGTACACAAAAGGGGTATATATACAGGGGTGGGGTGGGGGGGTCAGAGGGGGTATATACAGGGTGGGGGGATGAGGGTACACAAAGGGGGTATATACAGGGTGGGGGGTATATATATACGGTCATGGTGGGGGGATGAGGGTACACAGAGGGGGTATATATACAGGGGGGGGGGGGTATATATACGGGGTGGGGGGGGGGGGATGAGGGTACACAAAGGGGGTATATACGAGGTGGGGGGGTATATATACGGGGGTACGGGGGGGGGTATATATACGGGGTGGGGGGGGGGGGGGGGGGGGGAGATGAGGGTACAAAGGGGGTATATACGAGGTGGGGGGTATATATACAGGGTGGGGGGGTATATATATACGGGGGTGGGGGGGGGAGATGAGGGTACACAGAGGGGGTTATATATACAGGGTGGGGGGGGAGATGAGGGTACACAGAGGGGGTATATATACAGGGTGGGGGGGGAGATGAGGGTACACAAAGGGGGTATATACAGGGTGGGGGGGGGTATATATACGGGGGGGGGATGAGGGTACACAGAGGGGGTATATATACAGGGGGGGGGGGTATATATACGGGGGTGGGGGGGGAAATGAGGGTACACAAACGGGGGGTATATACAGGGTGGGGGGGATGTTACACAGTGGGGGTATATACAGGGTGGGGGGGTATATATACAGGGGGTGGGGGGGATGAGGGTACACAGAGGGGGTATATACGAGGTGGGGGGGGTATATATACGGGGTGGGGGGGGGCGGGGGGAGATGAGGGTACACAAAGGGGGTATATACGAAGGTGGGGGGGGATGGGGGGTATATATATATACGGGGTGGGGGGGGGGGAGATGAGGGTACACAAGGGCGGGGGGTATATACAGGGTGGGGGGGGGGTACACAGGTGTAATGATAGAGCGGTACGATGTGAGGACCCCCCCTCCCCCATCACCCTCCTTACCGGACGAGGTAGGTGAGACTCCGGGGCCCATCACTTTGTCATCGCAGGGGTGAAGCCACCCCCGGGTGGGCTTGTTGACGAAGCTGCCATGCCGGGTCCACTCGTCTCCCGCCAGTTGTCCTCCTTCCACCCGGGACTTCCTCCCGCAGCTCAGCTTGTTCATATCCTGAGAGAGAAAAACAGTAAAAGTCCTCCCCTAAGTCGGGGCTCTCAGCGTTTGTCGGCCGTCTCCCCCGGGCTGCCCGTCTCCTTCCCCGCCCCGGAGGAGAAGCTGCGCAGGTTCAGGAGGTTGGCCGGGTTGGAGAGCTTCAGGTTGGCCATTTTGGGGAAGAAGGAGCAGAGGGTGGTGGGACTGTCCTCCGGACTCCGAGGAGAGAGCTCAGCCAGGGGTAACATGGGGGCGAGGGAGGAAGAGGAGGCCGAGTTGGGCAAAGACTCGGCCACCATGATGTCCACGGAGGAAGCCGGCGTCCCCAGAGCCTCCTCCACCGAGCTGACGGACTCGTTGCGCAGGTGGTTGTACTTGGTTTTCGGCAGGAGATCCATAACGCCCGTTGGCAACTTGCACTCTACAGAAAGCGGGGGGCCCGGGTCTCATAGTCCGGCGAGTCCAGGCGACCCAACGTCACGCACAGCCCCCACGTGGTAGCGTCAGATGCCCTCTTGACGGAGCCTCACATGGCGCCACGTCCCACCGGGAGGACAACCGGGAGACCCACCAACGGAGGACCTTCAATAATCCACAGACGTCAGGAGAGTGACACCAAGAGTCGCCTCGTCAGGGACGGCATGGCCCTCACCCCCCCTCTCCTGCCCTCTGCAATCGATGTCATTCCATTAGAACCCCCCGCCCGCGCTCTACCTCCTCACCCCCGGACGGCGGTGGCCTCTCTGGATCTCCACCGACACACCCAGAGGAAGGAAACGGGAGATACGAGATGGACCAGCGATGACAGGAAGAGGAGATACGAGGCCAAGGACACCGGCAGTGTGACTTCACAGGTAGATGTGGGGGGGGGGGGGGGGGGGAAAGGTCAGCCGGCCAGGGAAGAGCCCGACCAGGAGAACCGCCATCCCAACCGGGAGGAGAGCCAACATCTCAACCAAGAGGACAGCCAACATGTCAACCAGGAGAGCCAACATCTCAACCAGGAAGGAGCTCCAGCCTCAGGAGATCCCCAACGTGCCGGCCAAAGGAAGGAGGGGGGGGGCAGCTAATCTATGAATGGAGCCGAGGAGGAGCGCAGGACCCGAGGCAACTGCCTGATTAGCTATTCACATGTTCCCAGGAGAAGCCGCTGGCGGCCAATCACAGCGGCTCTGCTGACTCACGGGCAACGCTGACAGGAAGGCAGCCTCCTCTCAGGCTCTAGGTTCGGCACGCAAAGATCACCGCGCCTCGTTTCCTCCGCCTGTAACCCGAGCCCTGCACCCACCGCACTCAGCAACCCATCTGCAAATTAGATTTCCCTCCCCCGACCCGCAGAGCTGGCAATCTAGAAGGCAAGGTCACCAAGGCCGGCAGGTGGCTGCGGGTACCGCCGCTCCCAAACCGCGCTCGCTCTACGGCACGCATCGGTTTCCGAGGGCTGCGTTGTCATGGAAACCATTAACTTATTACAAGGCAGATGAGTCTCCCAGTCTAATAGAAGGCTCCATGGGAGGCGATCGATGGGGCCGGCCTGGAATGGCGCCCCCCAGTGGCAGAGCCGATCCTATCCATGGGATCCTGTCAATGGGAGCCGGCCTGGAATGGCGCCCCCCAGTGGCAGAGCCGATCCTATCCATGGGATCCTGTCAATGGGAGCCGGCCTGGAATGGCGCCCCCCGGTGGCAGAGCCCATCCAATCCATGGGAGCCGACCTGGAACGGCGCCCCCCAGTGGCAGAGCCCATCCTATCCATGGGAGGCGATCGATGGGGGCCGGCCTGGAACGGCGCCCCCCGGTGGCAGAGCCCATCCTATCCATGGGAGCCGACCTTGAACAGCGCCCCCCAGTGGCAGAGCCCATCCTATCCATGGGAGGCGATCCATGGGGGCCGGCCTGGAACGGCACCCCCCAGTGGCAGAGCCGATCCTATCCATGGGAGCCGGCCTGGAATGGCACCTCCCCGGTGGCAGAGACCATCCTATCCATGGGATCCTGTCAATGGGAGCCGGCCTGGAACGGCGCCCCCCAGTGGCAGAGCCCATCCTATCCATGGGAGGGCGATCGATGGGGGCCGGCCTGGAACGGCACCCCCCAGTGGCAGAGCCCATCCTATCCATGGGAGGTGATCAATGGGGGACGACCTGGAACGGCGCCCCCCGATGGCAGAGCCAATCCTATCCATGGGAGCCGACCTGGAACGGCACCCCCCAGTGGCAGAGCCCATCCTATCCATGGGAAGCAACCAATGGGACCCGGCCTGGAATGGCACCTCCCCGGTGGCAGAGCCCATCCTATCCATGGGAGGCGATCGATGGGGGGCTGGCCTGGAACGGCACCCCCCAGTGGCAGAGCCCATCCTATCCATGGGAGGCGATCGATGGGGGCCGGCCTGGAACGGCACCCCCCAGTGGCAGAGCCCATCCTATCCATGGGAGGTGATCAATGGGGGCCGACCTGGAACGGCCCCCCGATGGCAGAGCCAATCCTATCCATGGGAGCCGACCTGGAACGGCACCCCCCAGTGGCAGAGCCCATCCTATCCATGGGAAGCAACCAATGGGACCCGGCCTGGAATGGCACCTCCCCGGTGGCAGAGCCCATCCTATCCATGGGAGGCGATCGATGGGGGCTGGCCTGGAACGGCACCCCCCAGTGGCAGAGCCAATCCTATCGATGGGAGCCGGCCTGGAACGGCGCCCCCCGATGGCAGAGCCAATCATATCCAAGGGAGCCGGCCAAGAACGGGCACCCCCCGATGGCAGAGCCGATCATATCCATTGGAGCCGGCCAAGAACGGCCCCCCCCCGATGGCAGAGCCAATCATATCCATGGGAGCTGGCCAAGAACCATCTGCTCTGCCCCCCGGTGGCAGAGCAGATCCTATGGATGGGAGTTGGCCTGGAACGGCGCCCCCCGGTGGCAGAGCCAATCCTATCGATGGGAGCCGACCTGGAACAGTGCCACCTAGACTGGCCCACCTGGGTTCCATGCTCCTCTCCATTATGGAGAAAGCAGCAGCAGGAGTGAGACTCTGCAGTCTCACTGGACTGATCTTACATCAATCAAATGCAAACTAGTCATTGAAAAATGGCGGCGGCAGATGGGCGGAGCCGGGCATACATTTGTCCGCAGCGTTTCAGCCTACACCTCCATGCAAAACTGAAACAGGATAGACGGGTGGGGAAGCCTTTAAAGATCTTTAAAAGACGGATGTGGGGGGAAGGTGGGAATCTGCATCACTTCCTGTCCTGGTGACCACACAGGAAATGAGCAGATCCTCAATGAAAAACACCCCTCCCCCGCTCGATAAGCTGTCTGGCCCCCCCCCCCCCCAGAGAATTTGCTGACTCCGTGACCACACAGGAAATAAACGGGGGCACAGATGACGATTACCACCCCTCCCCCGCTCCAAATGTATTGGTACTGCCCCCATTGGAGAGATTCTGCTCACTTCCTGTCTCGGTGACCACATAGGAAGTGTGTGGTGGTGGGGGGGGGGGGGGGGGGGAGGGGATCTCTCCAATCGTTGCAGAAGAAGCAATAATAAATGTGATTTATAATATCAGGAATTTATCAGAGGGGTGGGGACACCCGTAGGTGGGCGGGGACACCCGTAGGTGGGCGGGGACACAGCCAGGAACCATAGTGGTGAAGCAGTAATAGAGAAGCGTGCAGTGCGGTTCCAGGATGCGGGTGTCGTTGCTATGGGTTACGTAGGCGTGGCAGGCATATATATATACTCTGACCCCCTCCATTATCCACAATGCCCCCCCTCCCCCTCCCCGCTGGCCTTCTCAGATGCTATTTTATTAATTGAGTGCACAGTCGGCCCCTGGGGACCCCGCAGCTTCCTGCAGTCCTCAGCCTCCCCCACTCATCAGGATGGCAGGCAGCACACAGGAAGAAGCCGGCCCTGGCCTGAGGAGGAGGGGGGGGGGGGCCTGCGGGGCCCCGGCCTTAACCCCGTCCCTGCTGGAGGCTGAGGATGGCGATCACAGCTCAACCTGAGGACAAAGTGCACCTCCCACTGCTGGTGAACTACAACTCCCAGTATGCCCTCCGCCAATATCATCCCCCCACTGCTGAACTACAACTCCCAGCATCCTCCTCACCCAATATCATCCTCCCACTGCTGGTGGAACTACAACTCCCAGCATCCTCCTCACCCAATAATCGTCCTCCCAACGCTGGTGAACTACAACTCCCAGCATCCTCCTTACCCAATATCATCATCCCCCCACTGCTGAACTACAACTCCCAGCATCCTCCTTACCCAATATCATCCCCCACTGCTGGTGAACTACAACTCCCAGCATCCTCCTTACCCAATATCATCCCCCACTGCTGTGAACTACAACTCCCCAGCATCCTCCTTACCCAATATCATCCCCCCACTGCTGGTGAACTACAACTCCCAGCATCCTCACCCAATATTGTCCCCCCACTGCTGAACTACAACTCCCAGCATCCTCCTTACCCAATATCATCATCCCCACTGCTGAACTACAACTCCCAGCATCCTCCTTACCCAATATCATCCCCCCACTGCTGGTGAACTACAACTCCCCAGCATCCTCCTTGCCCAATATCATCCCCCACTGCTGGTGAACTACAACTCCCACATCCCCCTTACCCTTAATATCATCCTCCCACTGCTGGTGAACTACAACTCCTAGCATCCCCCTTACCCAATATCATCCTCCCAATGCTGGTGAACTAAAACTCCCAGCATCCTCCTCACCCAATATCCTCCCCCACTGGTGGTGAACTACAACTCCCAGCATCCTCCTCACCCAATAGTCGTCCTCCCAATGCTGGTGAACTACAACTCCCATCATCCTCCTCAGCCAATATTAGCCTCCCACTGCTGGTGAACTACAACTCCCATCATCCTCATCCCCTAATATCCTCCCACTGCTGGTGAACTACAACTCCCAGCATCCCCCTTAGGCAATATCAACTTCCCACTCCCACTGCTGGTGAACAAGTTCCAGCATCCTCCTTCCCCAATATCCTCCCACTGCTGCTGAACTACAACTCCCAGCATCCTCCTTCCCCAATATCCTCCCACTGTTGGAGAACTACAACTCCCAGCATCCTCCTTCCCCAATATCCTCCCACTGTTGGAGAACTACAACTCCCAGCATCCTCCCCCCCCCCAATATCCTCCCACTGTTGGAGAACTACAACTCCCAGCATCCTCCCCCCCCCCCCCAATATCCTCCACTGTTGGAGAACTACAACTCCCAGAATCCTCTCCCCCAATATCATCCTCCCACTGCTGGTGAACTACAACTCCCAGCATCCTCATCCCCCAATATCATCCTCCCACTGCTGGAGAACTACAACTCCCAGCATCCTCACCCCCCAATATCATCCTCCCACTGCTGGAGAACTACAACTCCCAGCATCCTCATCCCCCAATAATCATCCTCCCACTGCTGGAG